TCATCACCGAACACAGACCTAACAGAAATTTCTGAGACAATGGAAATGCTCTGTATCTGCACTGACTGAAAGAGTAGTCAGCAGCTGCATGTGGCTACTGACCACTTGAGATGTGGCTAGCACAACTGAGGAACCTAATTTTCGTTTTTGAAAATGTGTTTAAATGGAAAGAGTCACCTGTGGCCGACAGCTACTATACTGGACGGCCCAGGTCTAACAGATGCAAGGACCTTCTGCAAGAATCAGGTTATAAAGAACAGGGAGCCCCACTCAAGCTTCACGGAGCTCAGGCAAACAAGGTGTGGCGGGGGCCCCGGAGACCAGACTTGCTGCTTCAGTGGGGGGGGGGGGGGGGGTAGGTCCCAAGCAGCCTCTGGAGCCCAAATGCCTGGGTTCAAACCCCACCTCTACTGTTGGTAAACTGTGTCACTTTGGACAAGTAACCTCTTAGCTGTGGTGTCCCAATCCGTATAACGGGGATACTAACAGACCCTACTCTGTGGAACTGTTGTGCCGATTAAGTGGGTTCAGGTATGAAGCAGAGACGGCATGGGTTCTGGCACATGCATGTGACACGAGGATTTGCTTCTACTAATTCCTCTGTATCCTTCCCCCGACCCCAGCCAAGCACTGGGTGATATGCCACCAAAGGAAGACCACCAAAACCCAAGGCCTTGGAATTAAGGTTTAACCCTGCAGATGAGCTAAGGGCAGGTTCCCCCCCTTGGTAAAAAGGCTCTTACCAGGATTGAGAGAGGCATCAGTGGGGTTTGTCCAGACCCGACTACCGCAGTGCTTGTAGAAGCCACGCAGGTGACAGGAGTGAAGCAGGTAAAGACTGTGGCAAAGCAGAAAACCCACATCCAGACAGGATCCTCCCTGTCAGCAACTTTCAATTGTTGCCATGCAGCCGGAGAGGAGCCAAATCTTGAGTTTTTCCCAAAAGAAGCAGGGAATCTGGATTTACATGGGGAACATCCTCACTTCTATGGTTAGCATCTAATCCAAGGATTTTTGTGGGTTTCTTTTAAAGTTTATTTATTTTGAGGGAGAGATTGAGGGAGCCAGGGAGGGGCAGAGAGAAAGGGAGAATCCCAAGCCTCAACGAGGCTCAATCCCACGAACCAGGAGATCATGACTTGAGCCTAAACCACGAGTCAGACGCTCAACTGACTGAGCCACCCAGGAGCCCCCACCACCCACCTTGTGTTTTTTAACCAGGTGCCATCTAAGCGCCACACCAAGTTAGGCATGACATGCCCCACAGGCCGCCAGGGGCACATTCTTTCCTCCTCTCCAGGCCCTTTCTTGGCTTCTTCTCTGCCTCCAATGTCTGGCACCCCAAAGGGCATTTGGTCAGGGCAATGATCTCAGGCTCCGCGAAGGTCAAAGGATACAGAACCCAGAAAGAAGGACTTCTTACAAACTTTGAAATGACAGAGACAAGCAATCTAGAAAGTACCAGGTTTTATTATCTTCTTATCAAAAAGAAAAAAATCAGTAACAGACAACAGTGTGAGGTGGCTACAAGAAGAGGTGCTCACTCCCAACATAGCCAGAGGGAAAGGGCATGGCAGGGGTGGGGGAGGGGTGCCCAGAGGACCCAGCCAGCTGGGGCCCCTGGCTTGAGGTGGTGAAGGGTGCGGGAGGCAAGGGCGACTCCCCCCTCCCCAGCCAGTGGGGTCAGGAGAAGACGCAGCCTGCACGGGCTAACTAACCCACTGGGCCTCCTCTTTGTGAAGGAAG